GGTCGAACTCGTGGAGGAGCCTCCCGCAATTGAGGTGTCCCTGGGGGGCCCAGTCCGGCGCCTCGTACCCTTTCCATTTCACTTGGTATTCTTTGACGCGCCGGCTAGTGCGGATCCGGGTAACCCAACGCACATCGAGTATTGTTTCCACTTCGTACTCCCCGGAACCCTTGTCGGGCTCTCAGCTATCTTCACGGAGCAGCACAGCGTCGAAGTCGTCGTCCTCTGGGATATTCATTGCCTCCGAGGGCCGCTCCGGGTATTTAGCTCAGGGCTTCAGCCTGCTGACATGGACCCAGGGGTAAAATCGGTATTCGGTCCCATCGACCGGTAGTCGCTACCCGTTTCCAGGATCCGGAACGGACCGTGCCAAAGATGAGCCAGCTTCTTGATGAGTCTGGGGCGAACCCGGGCTAGGTAGAGCCAAACTGAGTCCCCGACCTCAAAGCCTTCCTTGAGCCGGTTCGTCAGTTGTTTCCATTCCGGTTATGGTCGTCGGTTCGGCGTCTTTTGGCCTTTGCTTGGAGGTCCCGGGCCCAGGATCGAGCGTACTCGACTTGGCGTTGGATCTTCATGCGCCATTCCTGGGCGTCTCGGAGTTGGACGTCCCGAGGGAAATCCCCCATCATGGCTTCGACGGTGCTATGGGCGTCCCAAGCGTGCACAAAGTAGAATGGCGTATCAAGTCGAGTGAAGTCGAACGAAGTGTTCAATGTTCACATGAGCTTTTCCGCTAGCTCATCCCAGTTGCTCTGGTCCACCGTCTGTACGTATGCCTTGACACTTCGGATCACTGTCTGCACTGACCTCTCCTGCTGTCCGTTAGCCTGGGGCCGGTAGGCCAGAGTCGCGCGTTGTCCAACATATCCCGGAAGTGTTTGAACACCCGATCCATGAATCTCGTGTCTCGGTCGTGGCGGATCATTTCGCTGGCTCCGAATCTCCGGAACACGCATTCTTCGTAGGCTTCGGCCACATCTTGGGCTTCAGTGCTTGCCATGGCTTTGCATATGATGAACCCCGAGAACGCACACTGGAACAGGAGTAGTGCTGTGTTTCCCCGGGTTGACTGAGGCAACGGTATAACAAAGTCCATCGAGATGACTTGAAACGGTCGCGTAGCCAGCAAATTGCCAGGCGACGAGCCTGGGTTCCGGGGTAGCCCCTTACCCGTGATGCAATCCACGCACGCTTTGGCGTATCGCTCCGTGTCCTTAAACATCCCAATCCAGTAAAATTCTTTACGCAGTCTCTCGTAGGTCCGGATGATGCCCTGGTGAGCGCCTTGGAGGTCCGCGTGACAGTGGTGCAGAATATCCTCTTGGAGGTCCTGGGGAACTACCAGGCGGAGACGATCGGCAGCGTCCCGGGGGCGTTCTGGGGTGTTTCGACTCACATAGAACAACGCGTCCCGGGGTCCAGATCAAACTGGTCCGCTATCTTGGCCAGGTGCGTTGTCTGCCTCAGGGACAGATGTTCTGTCTTGCCTCGGAAGAAACTCACCAGGGCTGCTAGTTCTGGATCGTGCGTCTGGTGGGAACAGATCATCCTCCATCGTTCCCTGCGAGCGTCCTCAGGGTCTTCTTCAGAGTTCTGGGAGTCGGGGTTTTGGGGGTCGCCTGTCAGTCCGTCTTCCGCGCCTTCGATTTCCGGCTCACCGACCCCGGGGTCAACGGATCCTCGGTTGTCAGTTCCGGATTCTGGAGTCGATTCTTCCGCGAATTTTGCTTTGCTCGG